TTCATTTAGAGTCCTTATCCCTGGGAGTGGGCTTGAACCTGCCCTGACAGGCTCTATCTTTCACCACAGTTATGACCAGGGAACGTGGGGCCTGATGGGAGTAAAAACCCTCACATCCCTCCACCAGAATGAAGTAGCGCTTTTCCTTGTGCTTTGCTGCAGGCGGTACCAAAGCCAGCATGCTCCAGAGGACCTTAGCAAGCTCAAGGAGTGAATCATTAATAGGGAAGGAGACTCTCCCAGGGATAGATGGCTGCAGATAAGCATTAACATATGGGTGTTCTCTTGAAAGAACTCCGTTTGAATACCCTACGAAGCAGCCACATGCTGCAAAAGGTCCTAGTATGCCTTGAAATCCTCCAGTACTGAAGGGGAGGAAGACCCAGGCACCGCTGAATCATCCAGGGATGAAGATGAAATGGTTAACTGTGCCAGAACCGGACCTTGCTCCAGGACTGATGGAGTTGGATGGGACGACTACGGAGGCTCTGCGAGGGGAAGGCTCATTGGTGCCTGGGCCTGTGGTAGATCAATGGTATCACCACAGACCTGGTCGGTGATCTCACCTTCAAGTGAGACGAGGAGTGGGACTGCCGAAGTGTCTGACGGATTTCATGGAGGTCACTGGTATGGATAAGGCATGGTGGCCAGCAGGCGCAAGGCCAGGTGCCCCTGTCCCGAATGTGAGATGAACACCAATCCTAGTACCCATAGTGCTCCATAAATGGTCCCCCAATGTGGGCCAGGTGATGGACAGCGAGAGAAGGAAGAGCCCAACCTGGATGCTGAAGAGTAGTGGGCTTCAGGGGATAAAGGTGGAACCATCCGTCAGGGTGCAAGCAACTGGTCTGACTAATCCATAGCCCAAAACGAAGAGGGAGCGAGCGCCAACAGCAGAAATGGTACCAGCACCAAGTATGCCTCCTTCGTTTCTGGTGCAAGAAGCAGTGTCGACGCCAAAGTTGGCAGCAGTACCAAGGTAACTGATGATGCCGAAGAGGAGGGTGATGAGTGCCGACAGGGTAATGTTGGCGGCGCCAGGTGCAGGGGTGCCAAAGACACTCCCGGTGCTGGAGAGGTCCTTCACACCAAGCCCAGCAGCAGCCCCCATTTCACAGACTGTGAAAGAGAAACAACAGAGTACGGTGCTGACAGACCCACAGGTTCAGCAGCCTGCCCAGCCAATAGGAAGATGAAGGAAGCAGCCCTGGCAAAGTCCTGGACCACGGACAAGGTTGGGACAGAAAAACAGAGGAAGTCCATTGCTACCAGATGCACCACCAGCGTGGAAAGAGACAGTGCCAGTACTGCCCTCATCAGTACCGGACTCAATGGATATCCCAGGGCTGGAACTGGAGACGACCGTACAGGGTCTCTGACCTCCTTGTGTGGTACCAGGGAGTGGTTGACGGGATTTCCTCCATCCTGCGCATTGGCATTCACCCCGGCCCAATCCATGCTCCTTCTGAAGGAGGGAGACGAGTCCCCATGCAATGTGGAATGGCCTGAGTCAGTCTTATGCAACCTTTTTCTCAGTGCACGTGATAGGGAACAACTCCTTCATCTCTTCGGAGAGACACCACATCCAGGAAGCAAAGCAGAAGCACACTCAGAACCGGAGGGCAACATCCGATCTGACAAGGGCCTCAGTGCCGAAGCAAGCCGCATGTCCTGTTTGAGCACCTAGTGCTTCAAATGAGATCCCTCACCACTGGAATCTATTTGGTGAACGATCTATAAATGGGAAACCACTCCTTACTGTAGACTTCGTGTAGGCACAGCAAGCACCTATGTGGGGATTGTTCTTGGGGATTGCTCCCCCTCATGACAGACAATTTTTAACCCCTGGTAAGGGCAATACTAGAGAAACACAAATTATAACTAACTACAGCAACACTAACTAACTAATGCTATACTAAGGATACTAATTTCTAGTTGTATTTAATTAGTCACTAAAAATAGAGGGATTGTGAGGTGAAAACCATGCAGAGCTCCAACTCCAGTCACAGGCAGTAAGAAGAAACTGATGGATGTCACGGCGGCACTGCCTCATATAGCCAGAGGAGGGGCTATGGGCACAAGTGCCGCCCCTCTACAGGTACTGCTTGGCAAAATTCTCTGGCTCCTGTGTGCTAGGTGTGCACACACCTAAGTGGAATACACAACTGCATCTACTCAAAGAAGCCACCACGATGGCTGTCAGGTGGACTCTAATGGAAATTAGTGACAGTTCCAAGTTTTTAAAGTAGTAGAATGTAGTCCACTATATCTGACAGCGATGAGATTGTGAGTGGAATGTGTTTGAGGCCACATCAGCAGGCAAATCTTGTCCATTTTAGCAAGTGTAGCATGTAGATGGTTTTCTGCTGGAGAAGAGGTATATCTGACTGCCCTGAGTTCCAGGAAGTTGATGTGCAGAGTTGTTTCCAGAGGTGTCCATGTGCCCCGGGCCATGTGGGTGTCTAGATGTGCATCCAGCGTTATGATAACTGCAGGGGGAGGGCAGCTGAAAGTGACTCCTGCACAAACTTTGTGAGGGTATTTCCACCAATTGAGAGATTCCTTTATGAAAGCAGGTATCCTAAGTAGTATAGTTAGACTGTGTCTGTTCAGGGAATTAACAGTCCTGAACCACTCTTGAAGGCATCCCATTCACAGTCTTGCATGGTATATAATGAAAGTATCAGCTGCCGTAGACCCCAACAGCTGAAAACAATTCTTGACCAGGGTTTGAGGGCTGATCTGGACTGTACTGACTATGCTGGATAGAGTCATGAATCTGTGCATTGAGAGGCAGGCTCTTGCCCCTATTAAATCGAGACGAACTCGTATTCTAACTTTTGCACAGGGGTTAAGGTGGATTTTTGAATGTTCAATTGCAGATCGAATTGGAGAAATGAGGTCTATGGCTTCACAAGTTGCTTCCTGACCTTTCAGAAGCCAATTGTCTAGGTAAGGGACCACCACAATTCCCTTTCTGCGGAGATGTCCTACTACTACTGACATGACCTTTGGGTGAAGAAGAAAAAGAAAAAGAAAAAAAAGAGTCTTTCAACATTTGCAGAGATTGTGCTTTCAGCAAACAGTTTGGTGCCATCAAAAAGAAGGTCTTGACCGTATTCTGGACCTCCTTGGGAAATCCTGAGAGCAGAAGCCAGAAGGCCCCCTATAACTACAGCCATAGAAATCAAATGAGTGGCAGTATCACTAGAGCCAAAACAGGCCTACAAAAAATATGTTCAGGTGAGCAGTTGGCCTTCTGCAATAATTGCCTGGAATTGCTCTCTATGTTCTGCTGGTAGATACTCAATAAAGGAGTTCAGCTTGGTATAATTTATATAGTTATACTTCACCATTAATGCCTGGGAGTTGGCAATTCTTAATTGTAAAGTGGCTGACAAATATCCTTTTCTACCAAACACGTTGAGGCGTTTATGATCTGTATCACAGAGCGTAGATATAGCATAGTGCTGACTTCACTGTTTATTAACCCCCTTGACCATTAAGGAGTTAGGAAAGGAATGGGAAAATAAAAATGGAGTCCTTAGAGGAGACAAGATATTTTTGTCTGCACTCTTACACGTGGGCAGAATTGACGCTGGGGGTATGCCAAATAACCTTTGCAGGATCTAGAAGGGCCTCGTTAACAGCCAGGGTAATTTGGGCAGATGAAACTGTCTGAAGGATGCCAAGTAGCTTATGATGGTTCTTTAACCTCCTCAAGATAGATCCGCAAACAATCTGCAACCTTCTTGATAAGGTCCTGCCACTTTACAATTCCGAATTGCCAACTCTCAGGCATTAAATTATACCAAGCTGAACTCCTTTATTGAGTATGTACCAGCAGAACTTTATAGTCTTTAGTTTTAACCATATTCCGGGTACCTGAGGAACCAGCAGCCTCATGGGTTGAAGAGAATTAGGGGCCGAAGCCACTGAAGTCATCGGAGACTGTGACTTCTTTGAGGTAGGTTCCCTACCTGGAAAACTCGAGGGATGGTCTCTGGGAATCTTATGAAAGGAATCGTGCCCTCAAGGAGTACGGTTCGGAGACAGTGGAGGCAGCGGACTTACTCAGAGGCCAACATACAGAGGAGGTCCCCTGACCAGTGTCAGAGGCTGAGCATAGTGAGCTCTCCATTGTGAGGAGTCAGTTAGAGCTCCCTGTTTTTTGATGGCTCTAGATTTTAATGCCAGACAGAAGTTGCACTTTTAGAAAAGATGAGACTCCCTGAGGCAACAGATGCACGAGGAGTGTCAGTCAGTCACTGGGAATGCTCGCTGGCACAACAGGCAGCGTCTGAAACCAGGAGAATTTAGCATGTCCTCCCAGTAAAGTAAAAACTCCCAGAAGAGGAGAAATTATCGATCTAAAAGATGTATATATATATAAAAATAAATTAATCTTTTCAAAAAAGCCAAAACAACAGCTAAAACTACTACTAAGTACTAACTATACTAAGAACAACTATAATAAACTAAGTTCTAAAAGAGCTAAGGCGACACAGTTGGGGTAAAACAATGCAGACAACTGATAAGGCTTTGTCCCAGGGCAATGTGGGTTAGAAAGAACTGAGGGTGGTTTCCACACGCAGTGCTATCTAACAGCACAGAGCACGAGACTGAGTAACACACTTGCACAGGCCAAATGGACACTGCTCTGAGAAATCTCCAATCAAAGGCACAGGGGGCACAAGAGCACCTGGAGTGGAGCACCTATAGGGACAGTACTCAAAGAATCACCATAAATTCCCACATCTTCTAGCCACATGTGACCCATGTACAATTTGAAGAACTGAACTGTATAATTAAGGAAATGATTCTGAGTGGGAAGCAAATGCATGAGTCTCAATTGTAACTCTGGAAAGGCTACTGCCTCTCCACAATATCTATAATTACCATATATCAAAATCCAACATATACTGGATGATTTTTAATGACAAACATTTCTCCCTTGTTGAGCTGAAAATACCACGTATTCAGTTTTACTTAACACATACCTTTTCTCTCAGCAGGCAGCGATCATGGATTGTAGACAAATATCTATAATGAATTTTAATCAGTTGATCTAAATCTTTGGCTTCTTCTACCTGATGCTGAAACTCCAAACCTGTACTGTGAAGAATCTTTAAAAGATAAAGCAAGGAGTAATAACATGAATACCACCTCTATGACTGGAATCCCCATAGTTATTTTCTCTACACTTCTCTGGGGAGTTCTTTTTATCAGGGATTTGGAGCAATCAAATTTTTGAATTGCTCTGCTCCGGCTCCACTCCAGCTCCGGGCAAAAACCTACTGGTCTGTGCTCCAGCTCCGGGCTCCGCTCCAAAGCCCTGCTTTTTATAGTCTGAACCTCAATTATTCCCTCACTCCTCCCCTCTTCCATCACTACCTTTCAGGTTCAGTCTTATGGCCACCATCCATATAACCAAAAACAACTCCCTTCAACTTGTCAACAATATTCTTTAATTCCATAGTGCAGCGGTTCTCAAACTTCATTGCACTAAGACTCCCTTCTGACAAAAAAAAATTACTACACGACCCTGGGCGAGGGCTGGAGCCCAAGCCCTGCTGCCCCAGGGCTGAAGCCCTCGGACTTCAGATTCAGCCCTGAGCCATAGCAAATCTAACACTGGCCTTGGTGACCCCATTAAAATGGGGTCACGAGTCACTTTGGGGTCACAACCCAGTTTGAGAACCACTGCGATAGAGAGGCTGCTCTTGTACCATGGACTGAATATGCCACTTCTGTAGGTGTTGATTCAGGGCATGCTACCATCATTAGAAATCCCAGATCCTGAAGGCCTAACAATCAAGAGACTGGGATTGGAAATAGAACTCAGAACCTCTTGCATAACACAGAGCATCATCATTAAGAAAGTGGGCCAGCTTTCATCTATTCTCCTTTCAAAAAGAGTGTATTAACACAGAATGGCAATTCATATACAGTAGTAGAGTAAGTGTGGATCTGCACAAGTTCCTGCTTCACTTAAGAGAATATAAACTTTTGGAAATGGACATTAGTTAACTCCCAGAGGCACACATGTAAAGACACAACTTTTGCAGTAATGCTACTAGGAGTGCAGAATAACAGCAGCTTACTGAAATCTATTGTTTCTCTTGACATTAACGTCCTTTCTTTGCAAACCTTTGGGGTGAAAAGTTAGTCTGAAGAAAAGTGTTACTAATATCAAAGAATTATGTACATTAAAAACTCCTAAAAGTCTATTTAATATTTACTGATTTAAGATGTCTTACTTAAAATTCAAACAAACAACCAGCATGAATATTTTCAATATACATTCCTTTTTAGTTCAGGACTTAAAAACTGAACAAAATAGACATTAAGTGAAGACACTACTTATTTGCACATGCTTAGTCAGAAGTTGTTTTGAATTATTAGCTATGTTATGACTACAGTTAGAAATTCCTACAATACGTAAGATCATTGTAAAAGGACAAACCCTGGTCATGATGTAGTTGTGCAAGCTGTTAACAAAATGCATGAGTTTCACTCTTAAGAGGAACATGCGGTGAATTTGTTGTTTTATAAATTCTGTTTGTGATCCAAACTGAGGAACTGTCTCTTGTTCTAATTGAGGTCCTTCCTTTAACTGTGGTTTTTCGGTAGCATTTACTAGTTCTAAAAATGGAGAGGAAAAAGTTTGGGTGAATATTTATAAAATAAATAGGTATTAACTACATTTAAATATTAATTAAAACTAAAATGTATCCTTTTTATTAAAGTTATCAGAACAATAATATACTGAAATAGCTTTTGTCCTTTAATTCAGATACTTATCAGTATCTACATAACAATCATATTTTAAAATAGTAACTGGGAGGGGATGTTATGATGCAATTAATTGTTTGCTACATATTAAAGTGCGGAGGTTGATATATTACAATATTAAAAAAATGACATGAACATAAACTGTTATCTTCACAAAGGGGACAACACTTCAAAGCCTAGTCATACCCTTATAAATTAAAACTCATTTTAGCAAATTAGAAAGTACAGTTCTCAATACCTTCAGTGACACAATGATGCAATAGAGTTATAAAAGTCTTTAGGTGAAACCTGAGTCCAACCACTCAAACTCTCTGGATGACACAATTATTTATTTTCAAAGGTTAATCAGAGTGGACTACTTTATATAAAACTCTTAATAGTATGAACACCAAAAGGCCACTGAAGTGGAATATTGGAAAAATCCCTGACCCTCCTCCCCATCACTCCCACACGCCCTACTGATCTTGACCACACAATTAAAGAGCCCATAGACTTTCTGCCAGCACAGGAAAATTAAACTCCCAAGTACACATTCTGACCTATATACATTTACTTGGTAGTTTATAAAGGGTAAGTAACTATTTTCACAACCACTTAGGACAGAAAGTAATGTTACTGGTAAAATCATGGCTGTATTTGCATTAGGATATGATGCACAGGACTTCCTTCAGTAGCTATGGCTGAAGAATGACCAAGTAACAAATCTCAGAGATTTGAAAAAAACAAACAAATCAAACAAAAAAACTAACTATAGCTGAATTAAGGTATGGTAGATGGTAGGGGTCCTTTGCAGACAAAGTTGGACCAATTCTGTGTTTGGTGCCTAGATACCATACCACAGTGATTGTTGCAAAAGAAATGCCTCAATAAATATAGCCAGCTATATTTAATAGGTGTGTTAAATGAGACACAAATATGATTAATTCTGTAAAGCCATCAAGGATCCAACTAGCTTATAATCTCTTATTCTGGATAGTCATACATCCATTACCACAAATGAGAGAAATTTGCCATCAAGATGGATGGACATTGCCCCCAGCAATGTCAATTTTACTTCAAAACTTGACTTCCAAAATAATTTAACTGCATACATATCAGGAAAGGATTCTCACCATGGGCCTTATTCGAACACCAATGAAGGCAATGGAAAGACTCCAATTCATTTCAGTGGTTTAGATGAGGTTCCATGTAACTTTCACACTGCTCTGCTGAGCAAAATTAATTTAGCAACTATCTTTCCCAGCACCTTGTAAATGCTACAAACAGGAGCTATTATGCTGCAATACTGACTTTTCAAAAAGGCTACCATAATACTGGGTATATTCAAACAACTGTCAATAGCATGGATACCAATATGCCATAAAACAAGACCTTATACACCTCTACCCCGATATAACGCGACCCAATATAACACGAATTCGGATATAACGCGGTAAAGCAGCGCTCCAGGGGGGGCGGGGCGGGGCTGCGGGCTCCAGCAGATCAAAGCAAGTTCGATATAACGCGGTTTCACCTATAACGCGGTAAGATTTTTTGGCTCCCGAGGACAGCGTTATATCGGGGTAGAGGTGTATTTTCACTGATACAGATTTAAGATTAACAAGAAATATTTCAAGAAATTTCTTACCATCAAATCGTAAAACATCTAAGCTATACTTGGCCCACTTTATTTGTAATAAGAGAAGAAACACTTGATTGTAAATTTTTTGACATTCTAAACTTATAACTATATCCACAGGCCAAGGGACCTAAAGAGGAAAAGAAAAAAAAAAACCTTAATTTGATGGAGCAATTTGCTGTTACTTCAAATGTATTTTAAAATTAAAGCAAAAGAAACATTATTATATTTTACCTTGTAGCTCAATGTTAAGCCATCTAAGGTATGGACAGGGAGTTTCTTCTTTGCTATATCAACACTTTCAAAAGATATAGACAGCCTACAAAAAGAAACAAATACTCTAGTTGCCAATGGTTTGCACTAAGCTGGTGGTTATCTTAAAATGTTTTATTTTAATCTGTCATTACTAAATATTAAGGATCAGATTTAACCTGGTAGGGAAAGATTTGTAAAGATACCTCTGCTCCAAGCTTTGTAAAAAGATTGTATAACATAGGGGTGGCCAACTTGTGGTTCCGGAGCCACATGCGGCTCTTCAGAAGTTTATATGCAGCTCCTTGTATAGGCAACAACTGCAGGGCTGGAGCTACAGGTGCCAACTTTCCAATGTGCCGGGGGGTGCTCACTGCTCAACCCCTGGCTTTGCCACAGGCCCATCCTCCACTCCACCCCTTTCTGCCCCCTCCCCTGAGCCTGCCGTGCCCTCACTCCTCCCCATCCCAGATCCTCCTGCATGCCATGAAACAGCTGATCAGGAGATGCGGGGAGGGAGGGGGAGGCACTGATTGGCAGGGCTGCCGGTGGACAGGAGGCGCTGGGAGTGGGGGGCAGGAGGGAGGGGAGCGGATGGGGGGCTGCTGACGTATTACTGTGGCTCTTTGGCAATGTACATTGGTAAATTCTGGCTCCTTCTCAGGCTCAGGTTGGCCACCCTGGTATAACAGAATTACTAATCAAGACACTATTGCAAGTGAATATATAGGGGAACTTATTGTGGCGGAAAACAAAAACAAATGTCTACAGGTAAAATTTAGTTCTAGTGAACAGATTAATTAATGCTCTCATACTTTAAGTAGATAACAATCATATGTTTATTTCCACCATACTGCATTTTGAATACTCTATCAATGCACACAATAGTTTCTAACACAAAACGCAGTGACAGAATGACCCAAAGTGGTTGAACTGACAACTATACTGATGACTAAGACCACAATAGAGCCTAATATTTATGTATTTCATAAACCTATCATTTCAACAGGAAGATAGAAGGAAATTGAAAGGAAAAAAGTTATTTTTACTTTCAACTTAATTCCATGCATTTTACCTTGAACTGTCTTCTGGGTAACGTTGTCCAACTGCTTCCTGGAGTTGAACATTTAGAAATGATACATTCTGCCAAGTTTCCTTTTCTCTTATTTTATCAAAAATAGATGTGTAGAAATCATACATAGTATCCCCAGCTTCAAGCAAAAAAAAGTTTCGCATTGCCTGCAAGTACTCTACCAGCCTGAACAGGGAATACAAATACACAAACATCTCTTCAATCTGCATTATATTCCTTTAACATAAAAATGTCACATTATGTAATGCAAACCTTTAAAAGTCTCATCATCACAAGAACTCCCAACTGAATCCCATACTCCAGTGAAGTCTATTATACATTACTTTTTCACATAAACATCACTTAGGCCCAGATGTAGCAAAATACTTAACCATGTACGTAGCTCAAAGCATTGAAAGTAATGCCACTGACTTCAGTAGGACTAGTCATGTACTCAAGCACTTTTCTGGATCAGGCCCTCAGTTCAAGAACAGCTTTATGGGGAGAAATAGTGCATCTGGGGACCAACTGGCTAAGCAGCAGTTCTGCAGAAAAGGACCTGGGGTTTACAGTGGACAAGAAGCTGGATGAGAGTCAGCAGTGTGCCCTTGTTCCCAAGAAGACCAATGGCATATTGGGCTGAATTAGTACGAGCATTGCCAGCAGATCGAGGGAAGTGATTATTCCCCTATATTCGGCTCTGGTGAGGCCACACCTGGAGTATTGTGTCCAGTTTTGGTCCCCCCACTACAGAAGGGATGTGGGCAAATTGGAGAGAGTCCAGCAGAGGGCAACGAAAATGATTAGGGGGCTGGGGCACATGACTTACGAGGAGTTGCTGAGGGAACTGGGATTATGTAGTCTGCAGAAGAGAAGAGTGAGGGGGGATTTGATAGCAGCCTTCAACTACCTGAAAGGGGGTTCCAAAGAGGATGGATCTAGACTGTTCTCAGTGATAGCAGATGACAGAACAAGAAGCAATGATCTCAAGTTGCAGTGGGGTATGTCTAGGTTGGATATTAGGAAACACTATTTCACTAGGAGAGTTGTGAAGTACTGGAATGGGTTACCTAGGGAGGTGATGGAATCTCCATCCTTAGAGATTTTTAAAGCCCGGCTTGACAAAGCCTTGGCTGGGATGATTTAGTTGGTGTTGGTCCTGCTTTGAGCAGGGGATTGGACTAGATGATCTCCTGAGGTCTCTTCCAACCCTAATATTCTATGATTCTGTGATCTCTCTAACTGCAGAACCTGAAAAAATTCCAACGTCATTGGGAGTTTTGCCTAAGTAAGGGCTCCAATATCAGTTCCTTAACTGTTAAAAAAAGGGGAAGAAGGGGTAGTAGTACTTCCCTATTTCACAGAGGTGCTGTAAGGATGGATACATTTAAAGACTGTAAGGCACTTGGATACTATGGTGATGGAGGCCACATGAGTACCTTAAATAGAAAGACTGTGACTTAGGACCAGGTCAGAGGTCATGAGATCAGGCCACTTTACTCAACTCAGCATGACAATATCACATAATTAGTGGTAGTGTAATGGCCAAATTCAAATTTAGATAATCATATTCTGTCTTCCTAAAATTTCTCCTATATTTTAAGCTGACTGTGTGAAAGCCTGGTTCCACTGAAGTCAATAATAGCTTTGACATTGACTTAATTGGGGCCAGGATTTTACGCATTGTTCTTTCTAGGAATATTTATATTTGTCAATTTTTAACTGTTCTCATACTTCTCTACCCAAAAGTACTTAATATCATAATCTAGTGTATGAATTAAGACATGTGTTTACCTTTAAACGTTATTTAAAGCAAATGTATTAAAATACTATGTTTTTATCAAGCTGCTTACACTTTACTTTTTCTTTGCTTATCATTATTATTTGTACTACAATACTGCTTAGAGACCCAGTCTGAGACTGGTCACCCACTGTGCTTCATGCTGTATAAATATATAGTAAGAAACGGTTCCTTCAAAAAAGACCTTACAAACTAAGGGCTTGTCTACATTTAAAATGCTACAGTGGCACCGTAGTGCAGCTGCACTTCAGTGTAGATGTTACTTACAGCGACTGGAAGGATTCTCCCATCACTGCATGTAATCCACTTCGCCGAAAGGCGATAGCTAAGTCTTCCGTTGACCTAGTGCTGCCTATATGGGGACTTAGATCAGCTTAACTATGCCACTCAGGGATGTGAACTTATAATACCCAAATGATGCAGTTATGCCAACATAATGTTCTATTGTAGCGTAGGCTTAAGTAGGTAATACAGACAAAAGGATAGAACACAAAAGAACAATGAATAGAGTGATGGTTGGAATATATTATGTTAATTCCGCATATTAGTGCTTTTGTTATTGTTTATCACTGCAGAATTAGAAGAGAAGATTAAACAGTTTGTAAAAGATTTCAACTACAAATCAATTTTCTTAAAGTAATTGGTGCTTTTACAGTATGGTATACCAATGATAATGGAATATGCTTTTTAAGCAGGACCTAATTTCATTTCTTACCTGTAATCCTTCTTTAAAGTTTGCATTAGGTTGCCACAGCATTCCAGATATTGCTTATCTATGTGAGGATAAAGGCAAGACCTCAGTGTCAGTTCAAATGTCTGGCATGTCACGGATTCAGAGGATCTATCCACGCAAACATCACCACCAGTAAATGTCTCATGAAAGTCACTTTGCTCCAAATACAGCCTTCAAAATAAAAAAAACACATTGCTTAGCTGGAAAGGAATTGATCCATATAATACCTAACAGAAAGTGTCATACATTTAAAACTTTGTGGTCTCATTTTAAGCAGAAAGCTAAATGTGCTTAAAAATAAAAAAATAATAAGGCATTGAAAAAGTAGTAAAAAGTTCATTCCTAGTACTGGTAACTCAATGGATATTAGTGCCTTAACTCAGACAAGCCCATTATTTCGAGTGACTATACATACAACCTTTGTATAACAAGGCATAAGAGTACTAATTTGGATGATGTGCTATAACCACCTAATCACTCACTGTGTTTATGCCAGTTCTTGTTGTAGTTCTGAAAAGCAATACCAGTACAAATACTGTAGACCTCAATAAATAAGAAAAATATTTGTTTTATATGATCTTTTAGGGCTAGACTGTGATGTAAGGCCTAAACAAGGGGTTATCGGTTTTCAGATATTCCAAGCCAGAAAGGACCACTGTGGTTGTCTAGTCTGTCCTCCTGTATAACACATCACAGAATTTCCCCAAAATAATTTCTAGAGAATATATTTTAGAAAAACATCAACCTTGATTTAAAAATTGCCATTAATGGAGAATCCACTCTGACCCTCAGTAAATTGTTCTAGTGGTTAATTACCATCACTTAAATACACCTAATTTCCAGTCTAAATTTATCTAGCTTCAACTTTCAGCCATTGAACATTCAGCTATACCTTTCTCTGCTAGACTGAAGAGTCCATTATCAAGTACACCTCTACTGCGACCTGATATAACAAGAATTCGGATATAATGCGGTAAAGCAGTACTCCAGTGGGACAGGGCTGCGGGCTCCGTTGGATCAAAGCAAGTTCGATATAATGCGGTTTCACCTATAACGCGGTAAGATTTTTTGGCTCCCGAGGACAGCGTTATATCGGGGTAGAGGTGTACTTGTTCCCCATGTAGGTACTCAGATGGTAATCAAGTCATCCCTTAACGCTCTCTTTGTTAAGCCAAATAGATGGAGCTTCCTGAGTCTATCATTACTAAGGCAGGTTTTCTAATCCTTTAATCATTCTTGTGGCTCTTTTCTGAACACACTTCAATTTATCAACATCTTTCCTAAATTGTGAACACCAGAACTGGACCCAGCATTCCAGTAGCAGCTGCAAAAGTGCCAAATATAGATTTGGGTAGCCTGCGTATAGCTATAAGAGGGGGATCTTATTCAATGCACAGCCACATAGCTCAAGTCATAATCTCTCTCTCTCAATGGGATAAGACAAACCTTGGAAGTTAGGAGAACTCCAGCCCTAGGTAGGGGAGGAAATACACTGCTGGAGCCAGTTATTGGCTCTCTAGAAGATGGGTAACGATGTGTATTGGGGGGCAGGGAGAGAAAACAGCCACTTTCCCTCCCAACCCTCACCAGAAGGTGGGTGTTTCCTTGCTCCATATGGTGTCCTCCAGTGGAGGACATGGGTCACTGGGACGACCTGGGAGAAGGGGGAGCCCAATATGTCTTTCTTCTCTTCCCTTTCCCACCACCCTGCTACAGCAGCTCTAGGAGCAACCTGGTGTTCCTAATGTATCGCATGCTGCTGCCTGCTGGTGTGGCAGCAATGGCAGCTCGGCCTTAACATTTTCCTGTCCAATTATTATTTTGGCACATTGTCAACAACATTTGACAGAGAAACAAGTAAGAGAAGGTAAATGGCAATTTGTAAACAGTATCTATCTCAGCAAAAGCTGGACAGAATTCAATCAGACAAAGAAAAGGTGCTCTGGTAGCCTGAAGGCTTTCCCCTACTGAATACCCAAGGCCAATTGCAAATAACAGAGGGGTAAGAGTCTCAAAAATAAGGTTGCAAAAAAATTGTTTTACAATGAAAAAAGTGTTAAGCAACTTAAATATAGTGGTCACTACTAAGGGCTGTTCAACACTAGAAAATGAGATCAACCCATCTCCTTCCCTATTTAGGCAGTGCTAGGTCTCCCTAAGAATTCCGGACTGTTGAGGTGGTGGATTAACTACGCCAAAGGGAGAGCCCTTCCCACTGGTGTAGGTAGTGTCTGTTATGCTGAAGTGCTACAGTGATGCACTAACTCTCCTTATAATATTATACCGTTGGAAAATCTCTCAGTCAGACATTTAACACTTAGGGTAAGTCTATATGTACAGCACTACAGTGGCTTAGCTGTACTGATACACCTGCGCCGCTCAGCGCGTCTGGTGAAAACACTCTATGCCGACAGAAGAGAGTCTCCCGTTGGCATAAAAAACCCCACCTCTGCAAGCAGCATAAGCTATGTCAATGGGAGAAGCACACGAACACTTATGTTGGTGTAACCTATGTCACTCAGGGGGGTGGAATATTCACATTCCTGTACGACTTAAGTTTTGCAGACATAGGCTGTAGTGTAGACATAGTAATAGTAAGACAAAGCCAATTAGTTTATCAGAGAAGGGTCAAAATCATCATTACAATACAGCAAAAGCTATCAACAGGTAAAATCATTGTAGTGCAAGTCTGGTTTCCATCACTTCAGAGCAGAGATTGTCTTCATCGACAAAAGGATTGAGTTAACCAGCCTATCAACTTTTAAGAGACATTCTCATCCACTGAGAGAGAGATTATGTATATAGCTCAACTATTAATTACAATATTCTTATAATACATTGTATTACCTGTTAAACTGTAAGGTTGTTTAACTTCACAATGAAAGCTTTTAAATACAACCAAGAACTAAAGGCACCATTGTTACATCAGAACTCTTTTTGAGAAACCGGAACACCGATCTACCTATTGGTACGTAAGAGAAATAAATAGCTAACATTCTCACCACTAATTATTACGGCCTATGTACTACTGTTAAAATCAACGTGTTGCTGCTCTGCTAGTTTCCTCACATTACCCTATCACAAAGGAACAATTATTTTTGTGGCAATTAACCTTTTTCCTGAAATGTTTGCTTTTAAACTATTAGTACCACAGTAGAATTTTGCAAGATACATCTCTGAAATGATCAGCCAAAGAGAAAGACGTTGATTCAAATGAAAGACATTTTACATAATGTGCCATGCACACATATTAAAAAGATTACATTTTGCTACAGCATTTGTTCTATCATAATTCATTTGAGAAATTATATCTATTTTTTTGTAATAAAATTTGCTATGCTAGAGACAGTTCCCATTTTCTATACTAAAAACATTTAAGTCCTGCTAGATGTAGCAGGCAAAATAGAACCGTTCTTGAATACTCATTTTAATAATTTATATTTTTAATGAACCTTTGGCCAGTCATAAGCTGCCTGGGACAATGCTTAGTCATGCTCCCCTTTAGGCTTGTTCCTGAGCTTGTTTGTTTTAAGCAGCAATAGCAAAAGTTTATGCCTTGTGGCTTCTGACAACAGTTGTGAGACTGGTTATCTTTCAGGTGTTCAATTACCTAGCAAAGTTAATAGCCAGCAATGGATCATGAACATCATCCAGTTCTAAGTGTCTCTCTGCTATAGACTGCATCTTTATCAAACTCTGCTTTGTAGCTTGTTGTTCTGTAATAATATCTGGAACAGATTCTTCCCCATGCCGCAGACGGGACTGCACAGACTCCAGAAATAGTGTGTACAAACTCTTTCTTTCTGCATCTGAAGTGGATAGTAAAATATATGGTAAATATTATTCTAAGAAACAATGTTGATTATACTAGTACAACTAAGTTAAGGAGATTAACATAAACCCAGTTTTGCTTGCTATATTTCCATATGCAGCATCAACAGTATCTAGGCTGTGATTCGCAAGGTACTTAAGCACATATCTAACTTTAAATATTGATATTAATAGGACTATTTGTATGCTTAATGTTGGGTACATACTGAAATATCTTGCTGAACTGGGACCTAAAATATGAAATTAATATTTCTGAAAATATTAAACCCTTAAAGACGATGGGTATAAAGTAACTGTCAGCCATTAATACAAAACTTGTTTTCAATGACAGTTTATCCTCCCATGACAAAAGGGATAACACAGATATAAAAAGCGGTCGCAAAACAGTTCAAAGCCACCTCACTCTACATTTAAATAGAAAGGGACTTGTATAACATACAAATAGCTAATTTATATTGACCCACGTGAAGACAACAGACATCACAGCTCCCACTACTGTCCTTTGTGTATCATCATTCATGCTGGTTACTCCAAATATTCCGCATGCTTATAGTTGTATCGAGGTCTTTGGGCAGATCACCAACAGGCTTTCCTTAAATCAGGAATCCTATTTATTACCTATCATCCTTTAACCAATGAACTACTCAGTAATGGGAACCAACTGATTAATCACATAATAAGAAAATAGTTTTATGGTTTGAATAAAGATCTTAAATAATACAAACTAACAAGAGAGAATTTAAAATAATGTTTAAGAGCAACTTAAAACTGAAAAAAGCAAAGAAATTCTGAATTAAGGTAAAAATTCAGTTCTTCTCACATTGTTGTGTGTGTTGCATGCATCAGGGCTCTTGGAACAGAACCAGTTGTTTCAAATCAGATGTGAAGTTACAAACCACACAGTGCAAGCATAACAAGGAGAGTTATATACTAAACAGTGGATTATAATGGAAACACTAATACACCCTAAATACACAAATGCTGTTAGATACAGAGAAGAAGAATAGTTTACACAACTTATTTTCACCTCTTGATGCAGCTTGCCGTGGATAATCATCTTTGGATTGTAGGTTCTTCAACAATTGCATGGACTTTCCAGCCATGATGATTTGTTTTAGTACTGGTTTCAGAAAGGAGACCATTGTGTGCTGCCTACTTGAGGGAGCCTGATCACTGCCAGAGCTGGCACTGGCATTATCACTCATTTTCTCTTCATTCTCCATCTTTTCTGACACACTATATAATGTGTAGGTAGCATACCAAAAATCCCTGTGATTAACTGGGACATTTTTGTTTCTACAACAGAGAGAGAAAATCATTACACTTTATCCTTTTAAAAAGATAAAGCTTCCCTATTAAATAATAATATATTTCACCTTCTATTTGGAATTATCCCAATGCACCATAGAAATGATAGAATCATAGAAATGTAGAACTGGAAGGGACCTCGAGAAGTCACCAAGTCTAGTCCCCTGCACTGAGGCAAGATGAAGTCAACCTAGAGTCTAGAAGACCATCCCTGACAGGTGTTTGTCCAACCTGTTCTTTAAAACCTTCAATGATGGGGATTCCACAACCTCACTTGGAAGCATATTCTAGAGCTAAATGATCCTTATAGTTAGAAAAGTTTTTTTTTTAAACAGCTAACCTAAATCTCTCTTGCTGCACATTAAGCCCATTACTTCTTGTCCTATTTTCTGCAGACTTGGAGAACAACTGATAAGTCTTCTTTGTAACAGCCCTCAACGTATTTGACGACTTATCAGGTCCCCACTCAGTCTTCTTTTCTGAAGACTAAATGTGTCAAGTTTTAAATCTTCCATCATGGAAGGTTTGGAAAACCTGGCCTATCATTTTTGATACTCTCTTCTGGGCTCTCTCCAATTTGTCCACATCTTTCCTGCAGTATGACATCCAGAACTAAACACAGTACTCCAGATGAGGCCTCACAAGCACCAAGTAGAGCAGGACAATTACCTTCTAGGTCTTACATACAACGCTCCTGTTCAGACACTCCAGAATGTTATTGGCCTTTTCCGCAACTGTCTCATGTTGTTGACTTACTCAATTTGTGATTCACTATAACTCCCAAATCCTTTTCAGCAGTACTACTACCTACCCAATTATTCCCCATTCTGTATTTGGGCATTTGATTTTTTCCTTTCTAAGTGAAAACTTTGCAACTATCTTTATTGAACAACACACACAAAGTAATCATTTCACCTATGATTGACACACAGCCACCTCTAGAATGATGGTAACTTTAACATCGCACAGAATCATTGCACAATAGATTATTAGAACAAGAAACAAGAGACTACTTGTGATGGGGTGGACTAGTGTCCTGTCACACCCATCCCAGGAAAGGAGCAGAACAGTAGTCCTTCAAGCAGCCTAGAGTAGCTGTAGGGGAAGCAGCCAATCAGGGCCCAGGAGGGCCGTATAAATAGAGTAGCAGAGCCAGAGACAGTCAGTGCCTTCCTGGAGCTGGAGGAGTACATATAGTGCTCCTGGCCGGCCAAAAGGAACTGCAGCACCATGAACAGCTCAGTGCTGGCTCCTGAGCCTGAACTTAGATGAGCCCTGAGGGAAGGGTGAAGCTTTGGTGAAAGTGGGGCCATGGGGTAGTGGCCTTTGGAATTGAAGGCAGTTTTGCTAAAGGAACATGGTGGCACATGGCTGCTATTCTTAGGGTCCCTGGGCTGAGACCCAGAATAGTGGGTGGGCCTGGGTCCCCCGCGTAGGCCACTGGGGAACTGGCCTACAATCAGACAGTGATAAACCCCCAGAAGGGGAACTGAACTACTTAGCGGCCCAGCTGGAGAGCTGAGACCAGGATAGACCAAGAGGGCAAAACCATTGCCTCCAGGGAGAAAGCCCTGGTGGTATATCCCAATACCAGGGCTCGAACTGTTTAAAGATCAGAGACCCACCGGCCCAGAAGGGGTGCTTGTGTGAGATAGGTGCATTGCCGTTACACTACTATATACAACTGAAATCCTGGAGAAATGTAGGTAACCAGACCAAAACCTCAAACTGGAATTTATCCAGGAGGTTAATTATTCAAAGTGCCATGGATCTTTAATTACAAATGATCGATGCTTTTAGGTTTACTTAATAAATAAAATAGAAAAACCTACATCACTATGTAGGAGTCTCCATACAAATAACTAAAGTGAAACTGAATACCACATAATGCACACGTGTCTGAAATACCTCAAAATGTAATACCCAGATACACAACAATACTTTAATAGCTTCTGTTTTAGCACATCTCAGTAAAAAATAGGTAAAACAATTCTCATGGGAAGTTAAATTTACAGATAAGGCTGCCTACTCAACTACTGTTAGTTAACTGCTAACAATAATCTAATTGTACATTAACGACATCCCAAATAGGCGAGAGCCCCGTTTTAATTGAAAGTCTTAGACCCAAAGGAAAAGAAATGCAATAGGACACGACAAGGTTATTAAGTTAAAAGTTCTGGTGCCAGCAGTTAATCATCTTCCACAGTAAACAAAATCTGTGTTTCCACAGTCATTCAAAGTGCTTAGTTTTTTAACCAATTGCCATTATTTGTTGATCAGCTAGAAAAAAGCTTGAGTAATATTACACAATGGAAAAAAGCTTAACTATAGACCGCTATAACACAAAAATTTAGTATTTCTGCATTTTTTTATTTTAAACTACTATACTGTAAAAAAGTGATCATCAAAATGTAATGTGCAAACAGAACTAATTCTTCTAACTGATGCTGAAAGGAGTATGCAAATAACTCAAGACATTGTTTTATCTTATGTTTCTGTTCCAAATAGCAATAGGTTTATATCACTGTCTTGCCATGCATTAGGAAAAATCAACTTTATTTTATTATGGATACATTAATTTAGGAAAAGAATTGATTTTTTTTAAAACTGAATATTTGTGGTTTGATGGCCAACTTCATATTTTTTAATTTTGCATTTTTCCAAATTAACTTATCTCTATACCATATCAACAACTACTAGGGTCACTGTCTCACTACCTCATGTTATTTCTCCCATGTAGACTAGAGATGGATAAAAAAAGTAGGATTTTAAAAAAATCAGATCATTTCTAGCTGTTTTATCAAACGAAATTATTGTCATGCCACCATCCAGTTTGTCTCTTCTTCAACAGCTATAATGTTTATTTAGGCCACACTGTTTTGATCTGTTCATCATCATCATCCATACCTCTGAATGATAAATTCCTTAGCAGGATCAAACAAGTTACCATGGACAATCCACTCATCCACTGTTTGCAAATACGGCCTTACCGTTTCAACCCAGAGAGAGAAGAGGAGGGATACCTGAAATGAAGAGTAAACACCAATTGTTGTGGGATTTTATAAACGTTGGGCAAAATTACACATATTATTTCAAATAAAATAGCTACTATACACTGCAGAGAAGCCAATCCAAAGAACTGTGCAAATATATACTTACAGTATGCACATGTACATACAATTTTTTAAAAAACTTGACCAGACATAATGTTGAACTAAAAGCAATGCCGTGCAGTCAGTTAAATGTAAGCAGACACCCTGCAACCTTCTCTACGCTGCTTTCTCAATGCCCTTCAGTCCTAACCAGCAACCTTCATTATTTTGTCCTAAGTCTCTTTTGAGCACAAAGTGCCAGCCATAGCAGATTGTGTGGTTTATAATGTAGATAACTGGAGAATAGGATGAGACCACAACATGTACTTCATTTGTGACCTAACAGACTTATAAATCAATTCTTCAGTGGTAAAAAACTTCACATAAAAACTTGTTAAACAATATTCTAGATACTGTGTTTCATAATAAAGTAAAAAGTTAGATTTGACATACTGTTTGCTCAGATGCTTCTCCAACGTTGTCATATTCAAGAATAGCTTTGTAGAGTGTATTAAGCAAATGAGATGCTCTTACAACATTTCGAGTGTCAGGTGGTACTTGCGGTACTTCTGCTACCCCTGTGCTGAAAACTTTGTGAAGTACCTTAAGCTGTGCCAGTCGAGGTGACAACTTATCTACTACTATTGAAAGAGTGACTGTTTTGTCTGCAAAACCAAAAATATACAACGATAACCATTTTTAGCAAGTTTATATATTTTTTAAATATTGTCTAGCATTTTATACAATTTTCATAGTTTAAACTTATTTGTACAACAGTATATTATTCTCACATTTTCCTATTATAAATTAAATATCCCCTATACTGTACCTTTATTGATTATGCACTTCTCAATTTCAGTAAGCTCTTCTTTGAAACTAATGAAGTACTTGTACAAGGCCCACATAAAAGCTTGGTAGGTTCTAAATGGGGGTTCTGTAGTTTTCTTGGGAGTGGAAATGGTTCCAGGTATTACACTTTCTGAGCTGTGCCCCATCACTTCATCAATGAACTTCTGCAGCCTAAACACAACTTGTCCATATGCTGCTATCTGCTCCAATACTGATCTTAAGCAGTTCTACAAAATAAGGTTTTCCAGAATTATCTTATGAATATTAATCCTTTTACACAACCAGAAATCACAAGATATATAAAAGGTAAAATGAAAGTGACTGTTGAATTTAAGAGATAAATATAACATAATTTCACTGTCACTGAATATTCTCTCTTTTATGGCATCCGCCCACTCAGTTTTGTTTTATTAAATCAAAATATGTGTTGCTTAAGTTAAAAACAGGTGTGGAAGCATTATTATTTTTCCACAGGAAGTTTAGTTTCCTATCCCCCAAATATTCAAGCCCTCTAAAGACAGGCATATTAAATTATGATTTGAATAAAATCAACCCAGGTTGATCAAATAACTTACCTGGGTCAAATGAGTTACAATAATGTCATTTCTCACAGTCACCTTTCCCTCATTCAGCTGAAATATAAAGAGCTTTTTCACCCCTGAAAGAAGCCTGGAAAGCAAGAAAAGGTGAGCATTCTTAAAAACAAATTCATCATAATTATATGGATTAGAAAATATATATGTCAAATCCTTAAGAGGAAAATTTAGTCTTGCTTACCTGAAAATTTCCTTTCTTAGGGTAGGTCTACACTTTTGAGCTGGATGTGTGATTCCCAGCTCCAGTAGACAAACGCATGTTAGCTCTGACCAAATTAGTGTGCTAAAAACAGAATATAGCCGCAGTGGTATGAGCAGCCCGAAGTCCATATCTAGCATTTTGAATGGGATCATCCTAAGGGCAACTAACCCTTCCCGCTGCTCATACAAGTGTGGCTACACACTATTTTTAAATGTGATAGTTCAGTCAGAGCTAGCATGGGTATATCTCCTCAAGCTGGGAATCATTCCCACTCAAAGTGTAGACATGCCCTTAGAATCAGAGTTTAAGGCAAGAGGGAACCACCAGATCATCCTGTCTTAACTCCTGTAAAATCACAGGCCACTAAACACCACCTAGCCCCTGCCAAGCCCAACAACCAGAATTAGACCGAAGAACTATAGCCTTCAGGAAACAAAAATTGTGTGCCACAAGCAGAGAACAGCATAGACCAAGGTGCACCAATAACCGAGGCCCTTGCACTGGCAAGGAATTGATATAGTGCTATAAGTCCAGATGATCCTAGCAAGTGACCCATGTTGCAAAGGAAAATGAAAACCCTCCCCGCAGTGTTCCTCCCTATCTACTCTGGGGGAAATCCCTTTCTGATCCCACATATGGTGATCAGTTATACCTTGAGCATGTGAGCAACACCCACCAGCCAAGCACCTAAGAAAGAGAATTCCCCATACCACCTCAGGGCATCAGTCCCCCCCAATCCAGTGTTCCATCTCCAGCAATGGCCATTTTTCTTCAAAGTAATAAGATCCACAGATTCATTCAATGGTACTTCAGCCTGCTTGCAGTCTGGGAACAGAACTAGACCTGTCAGTCACTGGCAGCATGGGAACACCCAAGTATACTTTGAGGAAAAAACAGAACATTTTAAATTCCATATAATGAAAACAAACCCAAATCCTTGGATGACAATTTCCATCTCTAATCTGAGATCCATTTGTCTCTATGCTCAGCCAGATCTGTGAATCATATTACATTCTCAAAAAAAGGATATTTTCAGCTAAGCAAGGGTAAATTTTCCTGTTCTTCTTCATGCTAAAATCCACAGACATGTTACAATGGGATTTTCATAGCAGTGTTCCTCCAAAAAGGGAAGTAGGATTATTCTTTAAATATGGACATCCCAAACTAGGTAGATAATACATAAATATCTCCTCCACCTTCTCTTGGGCATTAGGGCATATAGAAGACTTGGCCAAAAGGAAATAAATGGCACTCGCCAAGATTCGATGACCAATATGCAGACTTGGTGAACTAATGGCTGTCCAGCAGATCTCAATGCAGGAGATATAACTGCTCTGCCTTGAGATTGCCAATGCTGCTAAAGACAGGACTTTGATGCTCAACAAGAGGAGAAATATTTCTTGAACTTACTTAGGGAATGACAGTTTGAGGACTACCTGGCTAAATTAAAAGTACAATACTGTTCTTATTAGAGAAATCTCCTGACTTCAAATAAAATAAACCCTCATCTGATTGAAGATTGTAACCTGAAACCAGGTTAAATTTTGATTGGGAAAACTGAGGAACCTTCTGGCATCATAAAATGAATGACAGAACAGGTTCTACCCCCAAGCTGCAAGCAGGCTCAAGTACCATTGTAAGAGACCTGTGGACCTTATCACAAAGAATGGGACATCATGTTAAATTTTTGTCTTAAAAAGTCTTATGTTGGGAATTACTTTCTGTAAGACTTAAAATTCTAAAATTCATTTAAGATAACTTACATTATAATACACAAATATTTATAAATTGGATTTCCAGCCTGACAACTGAGTCCCTAACAACAATTATAGCAACAATAACAACAAAAAATTGAATTAAAAATCATTAAAACATCCTCAAATCCTGTCAGTGGCAAACCTATAGGATAAGAAAAAACCTGGTCAGAAAACTCTTTAACTTCTCAACAAATCCACGTCTGGTAGATTGTTAAAGGAAGAAAGTTTCAAAGATGTGAGTCCTCCAGTGCACATCACAATGTCAGCCATATCTTAAGCATTTAACATCAAGAACTGATGCATTGTTACTGCTGTGTTAAGACACCGCATAAGAGGGGTAAACCCTCGGCTGGCCATATAAGGTTTACTAAATTGTAACCTACATCTTAAATTGCACTTGGAAGCCAACCAAGTTCTGAAGCAGCAACTAGTCATACTCAAGAGATGCCAGCATTTTTTATTAGCAGAAACTTCCAGGTTCCTTTCCAAGGTGGCTCTCAGTAGAGCATAATGTAGAAATCTAACACTGATACTGAAAAGGGGTGGATCACTGTGACAATGTAAACATCACAGAAAAATGGTTGCAACCACTAGGCCAGCTTTGGATGAATAGAGGGCATGGTAGCACGACTATGTGGCACTACTGTCATCTGGGAATCAGAGAGCAATAATGGGTCCATTGTGACCCAGAGATTGTAAACGATATTGCTGAAGATCAGAAATACATTTCCAACAGAACACACGGTCATGGTCTCAGCTCTTTCTTTTAGAGGTTTCCTCCTACCTCTCACTTGAATTGAGCTTAAAAGTATTTTTTAATAGTAAGAAAAATAAAATGACTGACTTTTTACTCAAAAAATCTGCTCATTGTGCATTGAGTTCTTTCACTTTAAGTGACAAAAATAAGTTTTTTGTACTGCACAGGCAATACAGTTATGAAAGAGTGAGCTGGCTTATTTTCTGGCTTGTGCATTAAAACTATTAAGAATGTTGCAATTACAGAATCTTTACTACTGGTGATGGTGCACAGATTAGAAAGAAAGGACACAGCAATATTTCTTTTCTGACACTGAAAGCCAACTGCAAATCTGTCTCCTAGGACCAACAACACTATGATGCAAGATTCTTTTATCATTTGAATATTAAATACATTTCATATACAAGTATTTCAGGGATTCCTGCTTACCAGAGTGTTTCCCGGATAACCTGTGTTTCAGTTACAAGAGTTCTTTCTTCTGGCATATATAAGGGATCGCTGCTGTACAAGTGTTGGTCCCTAAAAGAAGAAAATGTACTATTAATTAAAAAAACCTGAAATCATAGCTGAAGTGTTTACAAATAAGAATCAAGCAATAATCTTAAGACTCATTTCTCCCCTAATTTACACCTTTGACTTCAAAGACTTCCATGAAGCTCTATAGGCTGTAAACAAGAGCAGAGTTTGATTCTAAACCTTTTTAGAGGCAAAAAAATATGAAAAGCCACCAAAATATTACCCAGTCAAAGCCCAACTACCATTAACTAGCAAACATTTGACGTATTAGATTAGTTTTAGTATTCCAACTCTCAAATGTTTAATTACTTATTATCCAATAACATACATAGTAATGCGATGAATCCACTTTTTTGACGCAATGATTATCAAATAGAACATGTAGCTATTTTAAATACATTAAAGTCAAGAGTAAACATGAATTTGGATCACGAATAACCCCCAAATCCCATCCCACCTCAAAGTAACACATGCCATCTCAAAAACTTGCGAAGGGAATGGAAATTCCTTCACCTCTAAATATGAACAGAAGATCATAGGAAAAAGTTCTACAATTATTCATAGACCTTCCATGATTTCTTTACTGGTAGATAGATTAAAAGATTTTAGTGTAATATGTTAGGATTACTTAAGTTTTTAGCATTTTAATTCATTTTTATCACTGAAAGTACTAGTTATTTATACAATTTCTTAGCTCAAAATTCAACCAAACCAAATATGTTCACTGGCAGTGAATGTGTGCACAAACCAAATCACAATTTGATATTGCCCTACACATGCTAAATTTGTCCAAACTGAGATTTGGAATTTGTGATGGACACAACAGCACTAGCTTTGTTTTAAATTCTGATATTGGGAAGGACAGTAACACACAAGACATTTATGCATTTTTACGGGGGTGGAAGAACTACGACTGTTCAGCACAATAAGCAAAAGTTAAACTTATACTGGCTCATTTTGTTCAATTTGCACGCACTTAGTTTGCAATATATAAATATATTTTAAACTAAATCAGTAACAAATGCTAACTACATATTTTGGAAGAGCACACACATTTTACACTTTAACAGTATCACAGCTTAATGTAAATCATTAATAGTTCATTAAACCATTATCTGGCTTTATTTAATATCAGCAGTGAACATGTACGTGATCTTTTTTTCTTACCAGACAGCAGCTAAATTGGAATGTAGGTGCAAACTGTGAGAAAAACGAAGAGCTCTTCCTGTCCAATATTGAGGAACCACATGCTGTTCCAGCCAGCTGCGCGCATCAGGTTCACCCACTGGTAAGACATTTGATAGTCAGTGAAGGATTTTCATTTATGTAGGGAAGGCTTATAAAAGACAAAAAGAAGTCTCACTAATAAGCATCCAAACAATGAATTAGCTTCAGGATATAGCTGCATTCAAATAACTGGCTAATTACTCCTGTCTGTTTCCACTTTATTGCATGTACAATCATGGTGATTTCATGTATAAGTTAGTTTACACACACAGGTGCCTGACCTTTTGAAAATCAGGCCCTAAAAATAAGACAGAGGTATATTAATATTTATATATCTTTCCATCTTAAGGAAATGTACTTTATTTTAGACAATTGTTGAAACGATACATACAAAACCTATATCAAAGGTAACTTTAAAAAGTAAGGTGCCAAACACCAGTAAGCTCACCCTATAGTCACGGTGTCCCTAATACTAGGCACTCAGTACATTACCTAAATTTTTTTTCTCCTAGTTCTATCCCCCATGACACCTAGCCTCACAGATAACCAGCTTCTATTCTAGGTGCAATATCCTACTGTGCGCTCTCCTATAATTTCACAGCTGTCAGAGAAACCGACTGAAACCAATCTGAAGGGGAGCCATTAGTGTCACATTTATTACAAGCATTTTCATTCATTGAATTATACTATACCCAAGCACACACAAATGTTTTTCTGAATACCTGCTTTTATTTCAGTGTTAACATTTAATAACACAAGCTTTGTATTATATCTAGATATATTTAAGTTGTGTTTATCTGATGTAAATTTATCCCTAGAGCAGCATCGGTGTGCATACTTCCATAGGAATAAATGGAAGTCTTTCCATTGACTTTAATGGAAATTAGATCAAACCTTCATTACACACAAATGAGGCACTACCATTTTACTCTGTTAAAGAGTAACTATAATACATAACCAAACTCACAACCTTAATTATAGTGACAATACCAGAGCACTTTAATATAGAACTCTTCCATAGTTATTGTTAGGTAGCCACATATGAGTGAGAATCATTTATTAGAAATCCATTTGTTATGAGATCCCTCCATGAAGAGAATTTTGAATAACCAACCTTTCCATGTGACCTGAGACACTGTTTTCTTGTTATGGTCTTGTTCTTCTTGTGGTGTCCTGTCTACTTGAATGCCAGAGTCTTCCCTGCTCAGAGGTTGTTGAGCATCCTCCTCCTCTTCACTTTCTTCAGACCAATCCTGACAAGTATGACAAGACCAAGTAAATTTTTAGTGCAATGTACATGAGGGAAGGAAGTATACTCAGTCCTTCTTGGCAGGGAAAGTCAGTGTAACATGTCTACTTTCTGTCTTCCACTAAAAAAAAAAAAAGGACATGAGGGAAACTAAAAGGAACCCTGAAAATCATTTGATTTTTTTCCCCCAAATTTATTTTATAACATGGCCCAAACTGTTAAGTTACAGACATCATCAAAATAGTAAGCTTTTTGGAGCAGTGACTTTGTATTTCTACATATCTTACTCCTAGGGCAATTCTGTGCCACTGCTCACGTGCAGAATTCATGTCCGCTGCAGATTTCTTTCCTTCCCCTGAGAAAAATGTTTTTCTGACAAGGAAGCAAAGAGCAACCACACTCCCCTCTCCAGCAGGGCAGGTGCATCATTTTGGGTGCCTGGAACAGCCCCAGAGAGGTAAATCACAAAGGGATCACTGTACGGGGAGCTACCTTCCCATCTGCCCAACTCCTGTGCATTCAGACCCCCATACCCAGACCCTCCGCTGGGCCTCACCGCCCCCATGAGTCCCCTGAACACATACCCCCACTCCAAGCCCCAACCTCTATTCACCTGGACCACCCCGTCAAGCCCCCTGCACCCAGACCCCCCAACCAACTGCACCCAGACCCCTGTCCCACTCCCCCAGCACCCAGACCCCACCCCTCCCACCGAGCCCCAACAACCTTCACCAGGACCCCACCCCCAAAGAATCTCATTGCCCCTGCACCCGGACCCCTCACTGAGCTGCCCACATCCAGATTGCCCCACACAGAACCCTCTTGCCCCACACCTGGATCCCCCGCACACTGAACACCTCCACATTTGGATCCTGCTGGGCTAAGCCTGCCTGCACACATCTGGTGTGCCTGGCGCAGAGCCCTGGGGTGTTTCTGGGGCAGGACTAGCCCTTGCACTGTGTCAGGATTGAGTGCACTGTGGATACACTAACTAGGATACACTATCTATACACATTTACTGAAGCAATTATATAACTTAACTTACATTTATTTAGATTCTTAATTTTTACTTATGTTAGAAAATGGTGAAGGATGCATTTTAACGGCTATTAGCCAGGATGGGCAGAGATGGTGTCCCTAGCCTCTGTTTGCCATGGGGGCAGGGGATGGAGCACTTGATGATTTCCTGTTCTGTTCATTCCCTCTGAAGCACCTGGCATTGGCCACTCTTGGAAGACAGGATACTGGGCTAGCTGGACCATTGGTTTGACCCAGTATCGCCATTCTTGGATTCTTTATGTTCTTATTTACTAACTGTTTAATTTTTTTTCACGTGTGATTTGTGTTAAGCTCTATTTGGATGGAAATTCAATCAAAATGCACAAAAACATTTTTCATTCAATAAAAGCTCAAACATGCTGAATAGATAAGACAAAAAGTTGATCAAAGTTTATAAAAATACATTTTGCATTTCAAAATAACTGATTTATTTAAACAAAGGAAATATTATCTGTAGTTAGTGAATTGAATGAATTGTTTCTGATCACCATGTCCTTCAAAATCTTAGAAATAGTAGATCTCATCCTCTAACACCTGGTTTTTACTCAAGACTGGAAAAGGCAAACAAACTTTCCTGCTTTTTCCAACTCCCAATCAGCTTAACCTTGGATTTCTTGTCATTGATCTGAAATGAAGAAAATAGGCTTCTCCACCTGCAGAAGAAGCTAATGCAGTCAAAAGCTGGTTTAACACTTCAACAAACTCTGGTTTCAAGTGCTTACGGATTGACTTTCACCAGTTCAGTGATCTGACTGTCTTTAAAACATCATCAGCAAGCATGTACTGCTTAATACAATTTTTTTCTATTTCAATTATTTTAATAGATTAGAGTAAATTTAGGCCTTAACAGGTTGTCAAATTCTAATTTAATTTTTAAATGGTTTATTTTTAAAAAATAAACCTGTATTTAAATAAAAAAACTGATCAAAAAAATCTAAACAGTTGTTTTTGTCCACAGTGATACAGCCTCCCCTTCTGCGATCCAAAACATTATTTAGTTGACTTCCTGACTCTCCACTGCTCTAGAAAGAATGTGCCCTGCCATAGCTATAGCTCCCATACATCAACAAGCCATAAATTATTTGCTTTAGTGAACATCTATAATCCTAAATATCATATATACGGTCTGTAAGAACATAGTCAGTCACTTTTAAGATATTACTTACTGGTGTGTCTATGTCAGGACCAAAATCAATTTCTTCACCTTCCCTCAAGTACTTTCCCCAGTCAAATTCTTCTTCCTTTTCTAAAAGGAATACAAGTGAGACTCAATATTTTTGTGCTTATTTCCAACTTCCTCTATAACAAGACTTATATTTTTCTAAAGGTGCAGACTGACAAGAGATACTCTCTTCCATTCAAAACTGTCACTTTCTTTAGCAATGATATACAATTTTCACTGAAGATTTAAGTGGTCTGATGAATTATCTTCCTGTTTCTTTCTCTACCTATATACATTTCTCCTGAAGTGCTCCTCTGATTCTGAGTTTTAGACTCACACAAATTTGCAATATGGTGTACAGTCATCCCATCTGCCTGATTTCACTTCTTCCTGCATCATGTCATCTCTATTTTAGGCCTCAATCCTGCAAAAGACTTGCAAGAGTGCGTATCTTTACGCACTGTGAGTAATCCCAGTTGCTTCAATGGAACTACTCCCAGTGCATAAAAATGGTCTACATTCCAAAGAAAAACCTGCAGCCCTGAGTGTCAGAGCCTGGGTCAACTGACTTGGGCTGCTGGGGCTTGGGGCTAAACATTCCCGCTTTGGCTGGAGCTCGGGCTCTGAAACCTGGTGAGGGTCTCAGAACCCAGGCTCCAGCCTGAGTCAGAATGTCTGCACTGCTATTTTTAAGTACCACTAGCTCAAATGACCTGGGCTCTGTGACTCAGTGCCATGGGTTTTTCTTTGTGGTGTAGACTTACTAAGAGTAACACATGGACAAGTCTTTGCAGGATCAGGAACCCAGATTGTAAATTACTGAGGGCAGGGAACTTGTCTTTCCTTCTGTGTAAAAGAATATGTATAACCATAGTGCTATAGATAAATATTTTTAAATAAAATAATCACACAAACAATATAAAATAATATACTTTAATCCAGTAGGAAGGTTACTCACCTGTAACTGGAATTTTCTGAGATAACCTCTGCATGTTCACACTTTTGGGATGTGCTGACAATGCAGTCCAACCTACGTCACTAGTGCATTCCAAGAGTGGAAATGTGCAGAGGCCACTCGAAAAAGAATTTTAAGATACGAGGCTTCTTCCCCTCCCCACAGTTTCTAGACTAAAATGTTGTTTCAAACCATTTTTTTTTAATGGCTATTTTTCAGCATTGCAAATGAATACCACAAGGATGTGTGGTATCCCAAACACATTTTTCTCAGGTGTTCCACTCTTCTCATCCTTTTATTCTTGATCCATTGGGGATTGTCAATTTACTGCCATTTGTTTGTAATCAGAAACATAAGGAAATTGTACACTACTACTACAAAACCGGGAGATTACGTAAAATTAACTCTTGATAAGTTAAGATGGATGACTAGATGTTGCCAAGTTAAAACTGGTTAGAACAGAAAAGCAATATTTTTAATTTAAAATGAAAAGATTACAGAAATAACCAAACTGCATTATGTCAAGTTACTGCGTAACTTTCCTATGTGAAATTACATGAGAAGTTACTAGTTTTAGATAGATTTTATTTTTGGTTTTGGCTCAGTTCGGTGTAATGAAAGGGTCAGGATAGACACTGTTAGAAAGTGAAGTCCTTTATTTACTCACGCAGACGATACAGCAGTAATGCAAACTTCCTCCAGGCTCACCAATATTCATCAAACCTCATGTGGTGGTTCCACAAGTGACATAATATTTCACTCACTGGCCCCTCTGCTGAGAGGGTATTAACTGTGACAGTCATTTAACACTTGTTCCCACTTACGGGAACAGAACAGAGATCACAGGCTTTTAAACACAACTCACCAAATGGCCCTCAGATAGCAACCAACGGGGGTGGATCTGAACGAGCAACCCGGATGAGAAAGTCATAACATTAATCTTTTCCCCCACCCACAAACCTTATAGTTTCCAGTGTGTCTTAGATGTATAGGTTAATTAGATACAAGATTAAAAACCCACAAAAGATAACCAGTGAGGATCTTGAAATGAATTAAGTCATGATGTTATAAGACTGCAAAGGGGGAAAAAAAGTCCCATCAGATTGTCACTTGTCTGTGTGTTTTTCATTTCAAATATAAAGATCTTGTAACCTACCCACTTCTTTATCTCTTGGCTTTTCCACATAGTTGGTGTTGGAAGGAGAATCGGACAAGCACAGTAGGAGAGATAGTATGGCGTAATGAGCATCTGTCTTTAAAAATACACAAAAGAAAAGAAAATCAATAAATAGAATAAAATGGTTTAAAAGACTTTAGGAAATGAACAGCGTAGAATGTTGTATGCCAGAGTGTGTAGTATTAGCCCTCACAGTTCATCTCAAGTAATGGATATCCTAATTTACTTATTTTTTTTCCAATACAAACTGAAAATCTAGTCACCTAAAATTCTTGTTTAAATTATGCTAACCATGACAAATTAAAGCACCTCAACTAAAAGTCTACATGAAGGTTTAAGGACTCCTCATCCATTTACTCTAAATGACTTCCACAAACTCATTTATTATATACAGACAACGGTTACACAGTTATGCAAGACTATTAACAGGCCACTCACCCTTCGTGAATGGAACCATTTAATGATTCTGACATCTACATGGCGGGAGGGATAGCTCAGTGGTTTGAGCATTGGCCTGCTAAACCCAGGGTTGTGAGTTCAATCCTTGAAGGGGCCATTTAGGGAACTGGGGTAAAAAAATCTGTCTGGGGATTGGTCCTGCTTTGAGCAGGAGGTTGGACTAGATCAGGGGTCTCAAACGTGCCGCCCGCGGGGTTGTTTTCTGTGGCCCGCAAGCTCCTTGTGGTTCTCCCCCACCACCACCACCGTTTACCTAGAGCAGCTCCAGCCCCTGCCTGCCTGCCCCCGCTCCGGGAAGTGGCCGGAACGTGGGGAAGAGGGGCACAGGGGTCTGTGTGTTGCTGTTGCTTCAGGCAGTGCCCCTAGCAGCTCCCATTGGCCGCGGTTCCCCAGCCTGCCCTGCCCCCGGTGCACGTTGGGCTGGAGTCCGCCCCCCGAACTTCTCCTGCACCCCCTGGGAACAGGAAGGGGGCAGAACTGGGGTGGGGATTTCGGGGAAGGGGTTGGAATGGGGGCGGGGCCTCATGGAAGGGGTGGAGTGGGGCGGGGCCGATGGCAGCAGGGGAGGGAGGTGTTAGTAATGCGGCCCTCGGGCCAATGTACTAGTCCTCATGTGGCCCTCGTGGTCATTTGAGTTTGAGACCCCTGGACTAGATGACCTCCTGAGGTCCCTTCCAACCCTGATATTCTATGATATTTTGACCTTTTTAATTTAAAAAATAGCGTTTAAAAGCTGTTTCGGGGCTAGAAGGAAACCATGCACTCCTATTAAAGTCATAAAGTTTATGGCCAGAAGATACCACTGGACCATTTAGTTTGACCTCCTATGCATCACAGGCCACCAGTACCACCCAGTTATCTGCACAATAAACCCAACAACTACAATTAGACCGAAATACTACAACCCTCAGGAGACTAAACTATTGTGTGCCGCAGGCAAAGAATAGGAGGGAAAAAATATTATAATCAAATTAGTAGAAAAGCAGCCTGATACTCATCAGGCTATACTACAATATCATAGTCCTTTTTAAGACTAACACCATTCTCCTTACAAGGATCTGCCAAAGTACTTTATTTACAGAATCATCTTTGAGATGGACAAGTTCCACAGAGCCAGGCAGCAAGACACCCAAGTTCACTCATCAACAGGAGCAACTGCTAAAGGTCACCACAATTACCTTATACAACACTGCTGAGTGCTAAATACAACCTGACATTTCTGAGCATGTAGACTGGCTCACGCTTTATTCACAAAAAACAACATAGCTAAAAGTACATATAGGTTGAAAATCTCCGGGGGGGGGGGAGGGGGAAAGTATAGCAATTCAGGGTGCATTTGCATTACTACTGTATAGTTCCTTTTTCCCACATTAAGAAATCTAAACCAGTCCAAAGAAAGGTCACAGTTCAGTTAAATTAGAAATGAAGTTAAGGTTCTAAGCATGGGCATTAGGAAATAGAACACTCAGCCCTACTAAATAGTATGACATCATAGAGTGCCTCTACCCAGCTCAAGGGCCTGCATTTCACAACAGCAGAAGCTTTCAGTCTTCAAAGGTCAACTAGAACAGGTTCAGAACAACCACACTGGAACCAAAGTGACATGGACCAAGTGAGAGCACAGAGTTTTAATCCAGCAGAAGCCCTAAACTGATCTGGAACTCAACACAGTTTTCCAACTGAAAACTATGAAATCCTGTTTTCTTAAGATGAACGGCTAGATTCCCTGTCCTATCAAAAATGTTCATGCAACACAGAATGTGGAGCTCTATGCCTCTTATCTGCAACGTTAATGATATAATTTAAGCCATGAAAAGCGCACCCAGAGACTATGGTGATGGATGCCCAATAAATACATATTTTAATAATAGGGAGTCGGTAGGTTATAATTTTAAAAATCAGCTCACAGAATAGCAATATGTAGCTTAGTAGTAACATAACTCATTTGTACTTTCTGGTCTAAATCTGTTACAAAGTGACCAGCATCAGGATAAATGCAAAGAAATTAGAACAAAGAAGAAAATTTTACACACCTTTGTTTCTTCAGTGCTTGGAAGTGGTGAGTTCAGAAACTTTTCTATTAGTCTTTTCCAGCTTGCAGCTTTACTGAGGTCTGAATGAACAATCAGCTTTTCATAAATTCTGATTTAAAAATAAATAAATCTTATCAATGAATGCTTCAAATGAACAGAATTAATCAACAGAGTAAAAATAAGACAACTTACCCCTCTATCGTCCTCTCTACTTTGTGACTGCTTACATCAAGAAACCGATGAAATCTAGATGAGAAATTAAAACAGAATACAGTTTTTGCATTGTGCAAGGAAATGTTTGGGAAAAAAACCTATAGCAGGAATCGGCAACCTTTGGCACGTGGCCTGTCAGGGAAATCCACTGGCAGGCTGGGACAGTTTGTTTACCTGCAGCAACACCAGCAACAGTCAAGAGGCTGGAGGAAAGGTAAAATAGCACCCATCCGTACTATTCACATTACACATGCTAAACAGGAGGCTCTGAGATGGGCAGCGAGCAAGAGAAAGCAGAGATCCACAAACAGAATCTAGGAACAGTATCCTATTAAGAATACTACCACCCTTCCCAGCAGCTGGTGATGATGGGTTGGGCTTCTTACCAGGGGCATTGTACCTAAACCATGTTGATACATCCCTCTGTCACATTATGTTTTATTTTTGCCTCAGTCTAGTAGATGTTTGATAACTATTTGAAGAGACTTATTATTTGAGCAGATAAACAAGTACTGTGCTTGCAATCTGGATCTGCAATGCGCTGCTAATGCTTACTTAAAAATATTAGATTTACACAAACAGTAAGAAGCCTCACTTGTAAACATCTCCACTACACAGCAGTTGCTACATGACAAACATTCTGGCAGGTATCATCTATTTTGATGTCATATACTGAATAATGGCAACTGTTAACTTTTAAATAAGCCCGTTAAATTGTTTCTCAAATCATTATCACCAAAGACATTATCACAATAACTGCCTATCAGTTTGGTAATGAACATATTGTAAGAAGTTCATATGTAAGATAAAAAGTTAACTCAGGGGTAGCCAACCTGAGCTTGATAAGGATACATTATCTTGATACATTGCCAAAGAGCCACGGTAATAAGCCAGCAGCCCCATATCAGCTCCCCCCGCCCCCACTCCCATCGCCTCCCACCCACCCATCAGCACCTCTCCCTCCCTCCCCACACCTCATGATCAGCTGTTCTGTGGCATGCAAGGGGCTCTGGGGGGAGAAGAGCGAGGGCACAGCAGGCTCAGAGCAGGGGGCGGGAAGGGGTGGAGTGAGGGCAGGGCCTGTGGCAGAGCCAGGCATTGAGCAGTGAGCACCCCCCAGCACATTGGAAAGTTGGCACCTGTAGCTCCAGCCCCGGAGTTGGTGCCTAGACAAGGAGACGCATATTAACTTCTGAAGAGCCGCACGTGGCTCCGGAGCCACAGGCTGGCCACCCAAGTTAACTTCAGTACACTCCCAAAAAAGCTGAATGAATTTTAAGTTTCAATCCATAGCTATGTATGATTACTATGGTTTTTATCCTTAAAACACATATCTACTTCATTAGACAGACAGTAGATTCATAGTAATGTTCCTAGCAACTCTGAGACTTTATTTTTTTAGAAGTCTACTCCTCATTGATGTTTATAGGATCTTTTCAACAAGGGAGAAAATGACATGCTCCAAATTCTACAAGGATTTAGGCATGTGCTTAACTTTATGCACTGTATGTACTCCCAGTGACTTCAAATGGAGCTACTCACGAGGGGAGGGATAGCTCAGTGGTTTGAGCATTGGCCTGCTAAACCCAGGGTTGTGAGTTCAATCCTTGAGGGGGCCATTTAGGGATCTGGGGCAAAAATCTGTCTGGGGATTGGTCCTGCTTTGAGCAGGGGGTTGGACTAGATGACCTTCCCGAGGTCCCTTCCAACCCTGGGATTCTATGAATTGATTAAATTAAGCACATGCACACATCTTTGCAGAAGCAAGGACTAGTTGACAATAGGGGGGAAAAGAGTGAAACTGACTACATAAAAGTGCTGTCAATTGGGGTGGTGTGGGGGGAATCCCTGTTAAGATTACAATAATTTGAAGAGATTACATGCCATTTGTAACAATTTGTAAAACACTTCAGATGGAAGAGTTGACTATGACCTTATAATTTTTTAAGATTACAGGTTAATAAAGATTATGTTGAACTCATTTCACATGCATTAAGGTCAAAAGCATGTCTGTCTTTTGGAGAGAAATGTACACTTATTGAGGCAGATCTTGACTTTTTTTGTGTGTGACATTGCTCAATTTGAAATATTTGCTCATTTCAATAGCTGTTATTCCCTCTCTTCCCTAACGTGATGCCTTGAACATCATGTTGAGTATTCTGTCCAAAATTACTAAAAAGCAGCTTATTTTATGCCAACAGACTAATATTGTAACACAGTGGACAGCAAGAGATTTATAGCTGCCTGGACAGCAGCCACTGTTCCTCTGATAAGCACCTGTAACTAAGTCCCTAATGGTACTGCTGAGCCCGGATCTTTTTAATGGAGAAAATGCTGATGTTCTCACTGGCATGTGCAATGTTGCAGCAGACAGCGGTTACTTACTGGGCTGTCAGGAGAGCCAGTGTCACACGAACATCTGGCCAGGTAAGTGTGTGACAGTGTGTGTGTGTAAGGCTGCACCTCAGACAGGCCTGACACGTGCCAGTGTGTGAAGGCGGGAGCGCAGGCGCGTTGGAACCGCCCCCACCTCCCCGGGCGGCCGCAGCCTGAGTGACCCGGGGCCGGTCAGGGGCCCGCAGACAGGGCAGGCCGCACGCACAGCGCACTGAGGGAAGCCGCCCAGCCCTGGCTGCCCCGGGGGCAGCGAGACCCGGAGCGCGCGGCCCCTGACCTGAAGTTGGACCAGGCGAAGATCAGCGCCGTCTGGAAGCGACCGCCGGGCACCTCGCCGCCCTGCGCCTCGCGGAGGCCGGTCAGGCGCCGGATCAGCGCCCGGACGTCGCGGTCCTGCTCCTGCTCGAGGGGGCTCCAGCGCGGGGGCTGAGCGGCCATTGCCCGAGAGCGAGCGAGCGAACACACACGCGCGCGCTTGGGAGGAGGGGGGGAAGAGGCGGAGGCGGCGGCGGCGCGCCTGAACCGCCTCACTTTGTTTCTGTCACCGCCGCGCTGCCCGGCAGCTCGTCTCGCGGCACTTTCCCTCCTACTCTCACGAGATTCCCCACCGTCGTAAAACCCAGCAGATTCTAAAGGAAGGGCTGCGGCGCTGGAGCTGTGCGCATGCGCGAGTTGGAAGTGTTCTATAAGTAGAAAGCAGGCGCTGGTGGGTGGGGTTAAGTATCATGTGACTCTGTAGCCTTAATTGGACACAGTGCTGGGCTGAGGGCTCTGTCTCTACCTTATCCCAGCCAAGGGGAGTGGGGACAGAGAGCAGGCCTGAGAATTGGGAGACCCAGCTTCTGGCTCCATTGCAAGTGCTCACTGTGTGACCTTGAGCATGTGCCTCACCCTCTTTCTGTCTCCCCAGCCACCTTTCCCATGGGGCAGTGACAGGGAGCTGGCCTTGAGCCTCTGCTGCAAGGAGCTGGGTTGGATCAGTTCAAAGTATTGTTATTGTGAATAACAAACATAAATAAGAGCTGGGTGGCAGCTTGCTCCATTTTGCATATAGCAAATGGCCTGTATTTCAAGCTTCTGTTAGCTTGTAAGGCCCCAATCCTACAATGCATTGCATGTGGGTTGGCCCCTGTGCCGGAATGGAGCTCCATCGACTTCAACAGGCTCCATGCAGCCCAGGGCTCAACCTATGCACAACATTGCAGGACTGGGGCCTATGCAGTTTGGGGCAGGGCTATCTCTGTTTAGGCATTGGATGGACCCAAGCATACAATACGTGCTGAAATAACACCAAGTAATAAGTAGAAACTGCTGTGAGGCAAAATGAAAGGTAAAAAACAAACATCTATAAGCTTTTATAAGCACTACTAACGTGATTTCAGTTTCCTGGGGGGTTGTTTTATTTTTTTGTAGAGGCAAAAAAAGTGGTAAAAGACTAAGGAATCTCGGTTTACACAGTTCCTTTGCACACATCTTGAGTTTCAATTTAGGCTTCTTAACCTTAGTGCAGTGGTCCCTTCCCCAAACTTGTCCATGCCCACCCAAATCCCAGAGCCAGGGCTGGGAGCTGGGCCACGGTTTGGTGGGAAATGCAGGCAGGGTAAGAGGACCAAGAGTGGGGCCACAGCTGGGGTGGAGCCAGGAGCTGGGAGCAGAGCCCCAGGCACAGGATCAGCAGTTGGGGGCCTGGCCAGGGTCTGAGGACAGCAGCTGGGGTGTGGGGCTCTGGGCAGACCTGGGTGGCGCTCCCTCCCTGCCCCCCATCAGGGCTGGACCAGGCCCCAGCCATGTTCCCCCACCGAATGTTCCTCTGTGCCCCCCTAGAGGGTGCACCCCACAGTTTGGGGACCTCTGCCTTAGTGTGATGGGGTCCACTCACTGCTGGTGGCACCTTCTCCTGGCCAACCTGAGGATTATCTCTGTTAGGCGTTGCACCCTTCTCTGGCCGTGTCCTCTCCCATCCTGTCTTGCCCTGCAGCCCTATCACTCCAGGAACTGCAGGCTCCTCTTTGTGACTCAGCCCTCCGGCCAGGTCACCATACATGTTCCCCTTTCAGGAGTGGGGAAACAAAGTCTTTCAAGGACAAACTGTCCCATCCAGTCTGCTGTCCTCTGCTTGGCCTATGCCACAGCCCCAGTGGCTCATTGAGGAATCTGGGTCTGCCCTCCGGGTTCCAGATCAGGGGCCCTCCAGTGAGCAGCTAAAGCCTGCACTGTCCAACCTTGCTGCTTTTCCCCTGAGCCTTTTTATATCTTCCTGGCTTCCCCCTCTCTGGGTTCACCAGCCTCCCAACTCTCAGGTAGTAACCATGGACTACACTCTCAGAGGTTCTCAAACTGGGGAGCATGAGAAGCTTTAGGGGAAAAAAACTGTGCACATTCAGAACTGGGGGCTGCTAGAGAGCAGCAGCTGCTGGCTGGGTGCCCAGCTCTGAAACCAGCAGCATTGCCAGCAGCAGCACAGAAGTAAGGGTGGCAATACCATACTATGCCACCCTTACTTCTGCACTGCTGCTAGCGGCTACATGGCCTTCAGAGCTGGGTACCTGGCCAGCAGCTGCCACTCTCTGTTCTGCCTTCAGAGCTGGGCAGCTGGAGAGCACAGATACAAAGATCAAATAAGTTTGAGAACCACTGCTGTAGCCCCTAAGGTATCTCCCTTCTCCCATGGAGTGACTGCAGCCCCCTTCTGTTCTCTGTTCCTGGGATTTTGCAGGCCCCTCCTATTCCTGGCTAGCTGAACTTCATTTAATCAACCCCTGCAGCCTGGTTCCTCCTCCAGGTGCAGCCCGGGGAGTTAATTGGCCTACCTGGCCACCTTAACCCCTTCCAGTCCTATGTGCTGTGGACACCCCATCACACTTAGGAACAAGATCAATCCTAAGCATAACCAAGATGAACAACTGCCTGATGCCCAGCTCTTTGAATAACTTTAGTAACTCATTTCCTAATAAACCCCACCCATCACTTGAACCAGAGGACAAGGAATGCAAACCACAATTTCATGCTGAATTGTTAAGTCCAACCTGTACAGACTTGGGATCACCTTAAATATGCCCCATTTCAATGATTCCTAAATAAATGCTTATAGATTTTACATATCTTTACTGTTTTTCTTACAGTTCATATCAGTTCAAAACTTCATTGCAGATGCACAGCTGTATGTTTGTAATGTTTGGAAAAGTTCCAACATAAAATCATTTCAGATTTCTGCAGTTGTTTCATTTTTAGTTCAGGAAAGAAACAAATTGTCTATGTGCAGTACATGGAAACAATATTTTAAGAGAATGGATAAAACATCTTGTCTATGTAAAGGTTGTCCCCTGTCAGCAAAAGCAACAGGACGATCATAACAGGAAGGAGATAATGTGATAACATTCTACTACAGGTTTCAGAGTAGCAGCCGTGTTAGTCTGTATCCGCAAAAAGAACAGGAGTACTTGTGGCACCTTAGAGACTAACAAATTTATTTGAGCATAAGCTTTTGTGGGCTACAGCCCACTTCATCAGATGGGTATGGCTACTTCCACCTTTTCATGTTCTCTGTATGTATATATATTTCTTACTATATGTTCCATTCTATGCATCTGATGAGGTGGGCTGTAGCCCACAAAAGCTTATGCTCAAATAAATTTGTTAGTCTCTTAGGAGCCACAAGTACTCCTATTCTACTACAGTAACTTTTGCAGCACATCATTTTGATGTTTTAGGAGTGACCTTTTTTCACTATTAGAGGTTGATCTAAGTTTGCAGATGACACTAAACTGGGAGGCGTGGTAGATACGCTGGAGGGTAGGGATAGGATACAGAGGGACCTAGACAAATTAGAGGATTGGGCCAAAAGAAATCTGATGAAGTTCAACAAGGACAAATGCAGAGTCCTGCACTTAGGACGGAAGAATCCCATGCACGGCTACAGACTAGGGACCGAATGGCTAGGCAGGAGTTCTGCAGAAAAGGACCTGTGGGTTACAGTGGACGAGAAGCTGAATATGAGTCGACAGTGTGCCCTTGTTGCCAAGAAGGCTAACGGCATTTTGGGCTGTATAAGTAGGGGCATTGCCAGCAGATCGAAGGATGTGATCATTCCCCTCTATTCGACATTGCTGAGGCCTCATCTGGAGTACTGTGTCCAGTTTTGGGCCACACTACAAGAAGGATGTTGAAAAATTGGAAAGAGTCCAGTGGAGGGCAACAAAAATGATTAGGGGGTTGGAGCACATGATTTATGAGGAATGGCTGAGGGAACTGGGATTGTTTAGTCTGCAGAAGAGAAGAATAAGGGGGGACGGGATAGCGGCG